CATATGTAGTGCTATACAGGTGCATTATGGGCTGTATGTTTTCAGAATGCTTTGTATGGCTTTGGCTTATGTCCTGCCCAGTGCTATATACAAACCCTGACATACAGACCTGGAATTATATTAGACTGAAGGTGTTGTAAATAAGTATATATTAAGCTAATGCAGACCAGAAATAGAGTGATCTGGACAATGCAGCAATAAATCTTATCATCAAGAATTATTCTGGTTGAATTAGTTACCAGATATGACTCCATGTCCATTGTCCAGCAGGGACAGCCTTAAATTCAGATATTGCTTTATGTTTCAATTCACACAGATACATCTAGCGATGCTAATTCTGTCTGTAATATATGAAGTGACAAAACATTCAGCCTTTTGTTACTGAAAATAAAAGACCAGAACATTCTCCCCAGCAGCCAAAAGCCAGATAAGCAGGGATTAACATCGGCAATCAGGTGGGAAACAATACCTTAATCAGGGAACTACCAAGGAGACCCCCCCCCTTTAAACTGGCGGGGCAAGCAACTGTATATAAATAGACAGTAAGTACCATTCTGACTCATGGATGATGTTACCTAGTTGGGTAATGAAATGTCTGCAAGCAAGCAACAAAGCTTAGAAAGTATTAAGGATTCCACACATTACTATGTATTATCCATAAATGGAACATGAGGTTAAAGGTAAACAGATGAGGAACTCTGCAAGTTTGTCTACAGTGATTGTCCTCTCTTGCAAGGTTTTATGAAAATTCTTTAAAGTATAGCATCTACAAATTAAAAAGAGGCTTTTCTTTGGACATTTTATTTGCTGCCCTCTCATTTCATTATATTTAAAATGGAGAACCCATTAAAAAAAACCCCCACAAAATAAAAAAACTTCAAAAACATAACCAGTACTAAGACTTTAACTCCTGAACAGTAATAAAGGGTGCACTTGTTTCAGTTCCAGTAGCGATTCATTCTATATGACCTCCCATTGCAGAGATAACTTGATATCAACCACAAGATATCAAGAATGAACAGCAGACTAACATGGGAGGATGTTGTCCCATAAAATAGCTTGGGATTAAACTGTTCACGCTTTATACACCATTATGAACGCTTAAAAGACATTTTTCTGAATATTTTCAGAGGGCAGCTGGTAACCAGTGATATTCTTCAGGTGAGGATTATATAGAACTACTCACCACCCACCACCCATGCTGAAATATTGTGGGCCAGTTGCAAATTCCAGACTATCTTTAAGATAGTGTGCAGGAGTGCAGGCTAACTCCCTGCTCACTCCAATTCAATTCTGAGTGGCTCAAGATTGATTCAGCTTTCCATCCTTCTGAAGTCAGTAAAATGAGGACCCAGATTGTTGAGGGCAATATGCCGATTCTGTAAACGGCTTAAAGAGGGCTTTAAAGCACTGTGAAGAGGTATATAAGTCTAAGTGCTATTGCTATTGATCTATCTTCCTTCCTTCCTTCCATCCACCCACCCAACACATTTATATAAAGAAATATTTTTGTATCTGCAGCAATTTATGTCAGAAGCTTTATTCCATGTACACATTTTGGGGGGTGGGTGGGCAGGGTTTCAAGTAAGTAAACATAGGACAAAAGTTCCAAAGTAAACTGTAAGTTTACTTATTATCTGTGATCACAATGAGTTATGTCTCTCTCTTTATAACATTATGAACTGTGACATTATGATGTCAGTAAGAATAAGCTCGGCTTCTATAGAGCACAGTATAAAAGCATGGAGATAGTCCTTATATAAAAACAGAACTGTATGTGCAGTATTTTCTTCATCCTGTAGGAGAAACACTAATTTGATTGGAAATGGCTGACACATCTGGGGCTTTAAGACAATGAGTATTAGCCACTTAGGCAGTTTGGTAAATCCTAATAACAAAAACTTAATTCTTAAAAACATTCTATGAATTTAAGAAAGGCGTTTTTGGTGTGTCAGGACATCACCATAATAAAAGCATTTAGTTAATGGAAGATCTACAGTTCTCCCACTACAGTTAATGAAGATCAACAGTGTGCACAGAGAACCTACAGATACAAAAATCCATTCATGAAGAAAAAAATCTGAAGTAACTGGTGAAAAACACACAAAATGGATTTCTATATTGCGGGAATGAATCATGGTTGCCAGCAATTAATACTTTCTCATACTAAGAAGATAAATAATACTATATGACATAGTATTACTGTAACATTTTGTAACATTTATCTTAATTGGATTTTAATGATATTACCAAGACAAACATCTCTGGAACAGTCAAGCTCCATTAAAATCCTTTTTGATTGATTGATGATGCTTAGGCTTATCACCTAGCAAAGGTCTGATTGTGTTTCAATTTAAACCCAGCACCCTTGGCCTATTTTACAGTTACTTGAGTATATAAAAAAGCATCCTGAAATATTATCAAATGCTTCAAGATTGCTGTAGTTAGGATTTTTGTTCATTCCCATTTTAACATCCTAAATATAACTTCAAGAATTTAACTTATAAGAATTTAAAGTATTTAAAAAAATAAGTTTTGTTGCATTTTTCCCATTATTCTTTGGTTCCAAAAATTAATAACTTCCCAATCCAATGTTCTTCAGCTGTATTAAATGTGCAGCTTCCAGAAATCCCATACAATCATTAAAGACTATGATTGTTTGGAAATTCTGAAAATTGAAGCCTGTTTTAATCACATGCTGCATTTGCTACATGGCATATCTGGGCTGCAATAATTTAGATGACCACTAGTTGGCAGCAGAGGTAAAGTATGAATTCCTGCATGTCATCCATAGGTATCCAGGTAAATTATGGGATTAGGTTTTTCCAATAGAAATCACACATTGCGCCAAGGCCTAGGAGCCATTTTATCTTTCAGCTAATAAGGGCAGTGCATTCACTTCCTGTTCTACAAAGGCAAATGGTGTCATTTTTCCCAATAACTGCCTGAGATTTTCTCCTCCACTAGGAAAGGACAATGGAATGCTATTATGGCATGGAATGCTATTGAGGCAATCCCTTTCCCATTTCTGCCATGGTGTATCCTCCCATAAGATACAGCCAGCTGCCTTTTGGGGTGGGGGGAGGGAAGCTAGCTCAATCTTTGTCATCCATGCAAACTATTACTCCTGAACAATAGCAGCAATTGACACGATGCATTGCAGGAATATAGCTTTCCAGAATCATCTGGATTCACATAACATTAAACCCATGACTGATTGATTAAACCACAATGCTTGGGTTCCAATATTTCTCAGTCTGGTGCCTTCAGAGGTATTATGACTACAACTTCATAAATTTCAACTTAGTCTCTCCTCATGCTGTAGATAATGTGAGCTATAGTCCAAAGCATGTGGAGAATGTCAAGTTGGAAAAGGCTGCAATTTATCTTGCTGCTGCCTACAACTTGTATGTGGTGTTTCCCCATTCACTTCAGATTGATGTTTGTCAGAAAATGAATTAAAAATATTACAGGAAAGGCTCCCCCCCCCCCCACAGGCAGTCACTAATTGTATTAGAAAAGAAAGCATCTAGAACAGTGTTGGCGAACCTTTTCGGCACCAAGTGCAGAAATGGGAGTGTGCGCGTACGGCGAGAGTGTGCCGGAAACCGGAAGAGAAGCTCCCAGGTGTGCATGCACGCATCGGGAAGCTGAGCTTCTGGTTTCCAGTGTGCGCATGAGCGCCAGTTACCTGGTCTTCCAGTTTCTGGCACTAATGCACACATGAAGACAAGCTGGCCAGCATTCATGCACGCACCGGAAACCGGAAGTTCAGCTTCCCAGCCTGCGCATGAGTACCAGGGAGTTGCTCTTCTGGTTTCTGGTGCTCCTGCGCACGCAAAGACCAGCTGGTCTTCGCGCGTGCATGCACACCAGAAACTGGAAGAGCAACAGGCAACAGTTGGCATGCCCAGAGAGATGGCTCTGCGTGCCACTTCTGGCATACATGCCAAAGGTTCGCCATCAGAGACCTAGCATGCCTTCTTAATCACCACTTTTGAGATTTTAAAATCAACGTATTTATTGTTCATGGCTTCTGGTCCATAAAGGCAAAAATACTAGAAAAGTTTGTATGCCATACGAAATAGAATAAGTTAACAGTCAAGAGCAAAAATCTAAAAGTGGCAATTTACCTCACAAGATCCCACATCAAGATAGTGGCCTGTGCTCAAGTCTTCTCTGATAGCAAATACTCAAAGGGGATGTGTACAAATTCTCCTTCCCTGTGGTACTTTTGTCTTTCATATTACACTTCCTTGTAAGGAGGAAATGAAGATGGAAAATGAGCACCTTTTCTGCTGTTAAGAATTTTCAGATGTTTCAGATGTTTTAACACTGCAACTTTCATTAGAACAAAATGAGTCTCCAAGAATGCCTGCCCATCTCAGAAGAAAAATTTAGAAAAACTATGTAAAGTATTTTCTTCATTATGAAAATACTGGAGCTTTTTGTATAAATATATATATATATATATATATATATATATATATATATACATCCAAATTCACACATTTTCATCAGTCTGGAAGGGACTGAGTTCTAGATGATGGTTCATTTGCAATAACTCTTGGAAATGACAGGACAGATCATTTCTCTGTCAAAAGCATTATGAGTTGTGTAACTTTCTGAGATGAGATCTTAGTTCTGAGTATAGACCTATCACTGAAAACCTGAGCAATGCATTCTGATGATAGTATACTTCATGTGATGTAGCCTTATATGATACTCTACCACTTCATTATACATGAGATAAAACATTTGAAACATTCTGACATCAAAGAAATCCCTACATTGCAGGGATGAAAGCCAAGCTTTTCATCTACCACTGGGTCATGTGGTTTGGGGATGAGTTATATCCCAACACATTTGGTAGACTCTATGTTGTTTGAAATATGGGGGTTTGACTACACCATGAAAAAGCACTGAATTATTAAACTCTCCACACACAGTATGATGTAGTACATGTTAAGTAGTAAGATGGGAGGCTGTTTAACTTACTCTGTTTCACAGGTTAAATCTCACTGATTTTAGTGATAAATCCAAGGTTACATATTTAGGATTGAAGTGAAAGTATGTCAACCTACAAATGGAAAGTGCGCTTCCCAAGTTACAATGAATTCATTAAAATATGCATTTAGAAGAAGTGACATCTGTGGCATTCAATGGTATTAACAGAATTGCTTTTTGTTAGAAAATATATACTGGTGCAAAATTAATTTGCCATAATGACCATTGTTATTCTGGTCATCTACAGGCAACTTTAGACAAAAGTCTCTGATGTAGTTGCTTTTCCAAAAACATTATAGCTCATCATGATTCTTTGTGAGGTCTTCTCCATAATTTGTAGCCTGACTTCCAACAAACATGTTCCAATTATCTAGAATCTCTTGTTTGGTTAACTTCTGATCCTGCAAGGAAAAAAATAGCTGGTTAGAGAAACAGCTACAAATATCCAGCTCTAATTACATAGCTTTAATGTATATCTAAAAACAAGATGTGTGTGTGTGTGTGTGTGTATATGTGTGTACACACATAAACACGCACACTCTCATACAAAATTACTTGGCTCTATGAAACATGATTATTCAAAATCATAAGATGCAGACAATAATTAGCTGCAGATAAGCTGTAAAAATACCAACAGTCCCTTTTTAATGTTGCTCTAAAATGCTTTAGTTTGTTTCCATGATGAAAATTTGACCTGCGTAATCTAGTTATCCTGAGACAACTGGGTTATATTGATTATATTCTGCTACTTTTGTAGGTATTTCTGGGTATTACTTTCCTCTGAGACCTGCAAATGTACCAAAGATTCAGCAGAAGATCAATAGAAGATTTAGAAGGGACCCTATACACAGCTATGTTCCATTCTAGTCAATTTTGCGCCTCTTTGTTTTAAAAATCCAAACTCTGGTATAAGAACTTGGATTGGTATTTATTCATACTTTTCTCTAAATCCCTTTATTTATAAAGCCTATATGCGGGCCTCAATGCTTCAGGCCATATAAAAAGAACAATATACAAAAAGAGGTGTCAGTAGGCATTTGTTTGCAAAAATACCAAAACAATTTGAAAAATAAATTATTGATGTGAAAAAAAATAATCTTAAATCTCGCTTCCTTAATTTAAAGAAAACACCCATAAATTTTAACTTGTATCGGAAGCAATATTTGGGGGTAGAAGTACACTCTTTAGATTAGAACAAATGTTAAAAATCCACATTAGATTTACAGTTTTACATTTTTTTTACTGTAATACTTTTTTCAAGCATTTTCTGAAAGATTAGCTAATGACATCAAAGTACTCATTCAAATCATGCATTTTTAATAAACATCTTACCAGAATTATTAAATCTTAAATTTATGGTTGGGCAAAATAGAATCAAACCAATAAGCTAACATGACACCTTTGGGGGGGCGGGGGAAGCACTAAATACCTTATCTGCATCTGATTCATAAACTAAATGCCTTGCTTCGGCTTGTGCATGATCGTAATCTTTTGGAAGAATCCAGTGTCGAATCTCTTCTTTATCCATTTTTCCATCCTTGTTTAGATCTCGAAAATCTGCAAACTGTTCACGTTCTGTTACCACCCAATCTGGTTCAGGTCCCCCATCTTCATGTGCAAACATGTCAGCTGGAAACAAGAAATAGTATGTAAAACTCAGATTCTGTACTAGAGAAAAGATGTATATTTCTATACAAATATATTTCCCAATAATTCATGATTATACAAAATCAAATGCATTATAGTCACCCGAAGTATCGGTATGAAAATCCAACCAATAAAACCACATAAATCATGACGATAAACTTGCAATGAAGCTTCTATAACAGATGTCCAATGATTAAAATTAAATAGATGTACAAGACTAGCAAGATAGTTGTTAGGCTAAAGATAATTTCAAGCTTTTTTTAATTACCCCCTTTCTTTATCCCCATAACTCAGGACCTACTAAATCCAAACTTTTTATAATATGTTTATTCATGGGGGGAGGAGAATCATACTCTGCAAAAGAAAGAAAAACAACTATCAACCTGATCTTGAAGAGTTGGAGACAGTAAAACTCATAGAAACCAACATTAAAAGAACACTAGGTTGGAAAAATCATATGAACCGTATGTAGGCAATTTATGGTAAATGTATTAGAAGTGGTCCATGCAATTATATCTCACAACATAATTTTCCATCATTTCCTTTTCTTGTGGTTTAGTGCTACATCTTCATTAATACTGACTGTAGTTTGCAGAAATTGGATTCAGCTTGTAAGATGGGAGAAAATTTGTTTTATAGCCAGTTAAAAATTCAAGAGTTAGATGTGAACTTCTGCACCAGATAGGAGGGATTGGGGAGGGGGGGGGAAGAGTGTAATGATTCTCAGAATCCACTTTGCATATGCTCTTATGTTATTTGCATGGTGGCGTCACACTTCTTTTATCATCATGCAGCATTTTACTGCTCTTGAATTGATAATGTAACTGCTACTTGAAGGACAACCCAAAAATCCATGTATATGCTTAAATATTTCACACATTCTGTAAATCACCTTTCTCCTTATTTGCTGCTCTGATATATGATATAATCGTATCTATAGCAAACAAAAAAAGTGGGCTTCATTTTTATTTAAGTCATCAGATAATATGAAAGAGGCCGAGCTGATAAGGGAAAAGTGTCATTTAATATATAATTATAAATGCATTTGTTTAGAGATAATTTCTTCTGCACGGTATATTAGAATATAAAATAGTTCACACAAAATCAAGATATTGTCTGCAACTGGGATTACAGCACAGGTAGTCCTTGACTTACAACAGTTCATTTAATGACTGTTCAAAGTTACAATGATACTGAAAAAAAGTTACTTATGACCATTTTTTACTCTTATGACCACTGTGGCATCCCTGTGGTCACATGATCATAATCCAGATGTTTGGCAACTCATATTTATGACAGCTGCAGTATCCTGGGGTCATGTTGTTACCTTTTGCAACCTTCTGACAAGCAAAGTCAATGGGGAAGCCAATTCATTAAGAACCCTGTTACTAACTTTACAAAATGGGGCAAAACTCACTTAACAAATGTTTCACTTAGCAACAGAACTTTTAGGTTCAATTGTGGGCGTAACTCGAGAACTACCTGTCCTGCCCACTTTATGTGTGCTGCATGTATAAAACAAGTAGAGTTGTAATTCTGCTGCCATGGTTGCCCTTTTCTGCTGCTTCCCAAATATTAAAAGATTCTATTCTCACCACATCTTCAAAATTAAACAATTTCTACTTTGGTTTACGCTGCTAAACCTATGCTACTTCAGCAGGCTTATTTACAAGCCTTAGTATTGTTTTATCTTCTTGCATCTTTTGTCTGGTGGAAAACAACTTTTTTTTTTAATAAAATAGGAGAATGCTGATCCCTTTTTTTACCTACTAAATATCTTCTAAGATGAGAGAAGTTGGAAGAGTCACACTTTCCTGTTACACAATCCAACCACTTTCTTTTATGCTACCTTTAGAAGGCTGACTAGAAAAACAGCCTAGAGCAACTTTGCATTTTCTTTCTGCCAGCCGAAGTCTCTGTGGATAACATCAGAATCAAACAAGCTGAAGGAATAGAAAGCACCAGGAATTTTAGAGAAACAACAGTCAGCTATGTGGAACTTAGTGGTCTTTAGTGAGGCTTTAGATATATCCGTTCATTTGAAGTACCGGTACCTCTTCATTAACTTTCCTTTTCTTTTCTTTGCCCTGAGCACTAAGTACTCCAAAGAGGAACCAATGTTGCTTTGAAAAAGCAGGACGACTTGGAAATCAAACAACACTCGGAAAAAATGAGTTAGGAAAGCTAAGGCTCAGAATGAACTAAAATGTGCCACAAATGTAAAAAAATAGTAATAATTTTTTTCCAACATGTAAAAAACAAGAAAAAAGCGAATCACAGTGTTATTAACAAATCTGGCTTTCCCAATTGACTTTGCTTGTTGGAAGCCAACTGAAAAGGTAACAAACCATGATCGTTTGACTGCAAGCCACTGCAATAATACTAAACATTGTAATTTTAAGGATCGTCGCTAAGTCACTTTTTCTGAGGCTGTTGCAACTTTGAACGGTTGTTAAACAAAAGGTCAAGACTACCTGTATCTGAGTTGCTTAACAAGTAAGGACATGGTAACATTCTTTTCAATAGGAAGTCAAAAGCCAGATGATGTCTTTCTTATCAAGTGTGTTTATCGTACTTCTGAACAAATGCTGATGCACAATCAACAGACACTTGAGCTCTTTAGCTGATTTCCAGTTTCTATGAATATTGAATACGATTTGGGGCTTTTATCCACGAAAATCCTATACAATATTAGGCTTGCATCTAGATTTCAGGTAATTTCTAAGAAAGAACACGACTGATGCCCAGTACTTACAGACAGAATGTGTAGTCTCACTACCAATCTATGTGCAGTTTCTAACTGGGGAGACTACCCAAACTGGTCATAAGAAATCATATTTATTTTACAGGATTTTTTTTATGAACAACAATATGGATTTATACCTAAAAGACAACTATTAGATAATATTATGAATATTGTGGGCTACCTTCGAACAACATAATGAAAAACAAGCATTGATATTCCAAATGGAGAGAAAGCCTTTGATAATTTGAATTTTTGTTTGTTTGTTTACAGTTCTGGAACATATGAAACTTGGCGATAATTTTATTAAAGATATAAGATTGATTTATATGTCTCAGAAAGCATACACAATTGTTAATGGAAAATAACAAAACCTTGTGAGATTCAAAAAGGAATAAGACAAGAATATTCACTGTCTCCATTTTTGCTCATTATGGTTCTTGAGGTATTGAATAAAAGACGACAAGTTTAGAAAATTGTAGGAGTTAAGATTTAAAACAAATGTATAAGTTAAGGGAAGAAAATAGGCAGAAAAAAAAATACTAGTTGACATACTGGAACTCATTAGAAAACTACTAAGGCAAATTTAAAATGAAATCAAGAGGCTAATGAAAAGCAGGAGGATATAATTGTCAATGGTTTCCCCATTTATAGTTATCCAAAAGATTTAAAATGGAGCAAAGTAAGATAGAACTTGAAATACATTTGGGTACTGATAATGAGCCTGAGTGGCGCAGCAGACTAATGCTACTGTTAAAGGTAGTATTTAGCTTCCAGCTGCCTGCAATTACTGCGAGTTCAATTCTCACCAGGCTCAAGATTGACTCAGCCTTCCATCCTTTCTAAGGTAGGTAAAATGAGGACCCGGTTTGTGGGGGCAATAAGCTGATTTTGCATAAAATATACAATAGTCTAAAGGCTATTGCTTAACGCATTGTAAGCCGTCCTGAGTCTTCGAAGAAGGGCGGCATATAAATCAAAATTAAAAAAATAAAAATAAAAATAAAAATGAACATGTAATTCCTAAAAATACATAATCGCTTGTTGAAATTTGAAACATGAAAAATAAGTTAAAGAATGTATGATAAAGCAGGTCAAGGCTTTTGGTTATAATATACAGATGGATCGATGGGAAAATATGTGGTTAAAAGTTGAAATTTATACTGTGTTTTGATCTAAAAGAGAATTTGTATTAAATGATGTATCATTAGTACATGACATAATGTACTGTCTAGGACCGTGATGGCGCACCTATGGCACACATGCCACAGGTGGCACATGTAGGCCTCTCTGCCGGCACGCAAGCCCTCGCCCCAGTTGAGCTGTATATACATCCAACAGGAATAGGAAGTGCCTCATAGGAGCAAATAGAGATAAATCCTAGAGAGGCAGGAAATGCATCACTGAACAATGGAGATAAAAGCTAGAGAGGAATAAAGCTGCATACAAGGCACATATAACACCTGTGACAGCATAGGCATGCAGAGGGGGCGGGGGGAGTGCGGGGGGTGTGGGGGAGCTCGTGCAGGGGGTGGTGCACACATGCACAGGGGATGTGTCGTGCGTGCATTGTATTATGAGTGTGGGCATGCGCATGTGTGCTGTTGTGCACGTGTGTGTGCACTTTCAGCACGCAAGGACAAAAAGGTTAGCCATCACTTGTCTAGGACATATAAAAGCACTTCAAATGTATGTTGGAAATGTAAACATGAAGGGACATTTTATCATGTTTGGTGGACATGAATAAAAGCTAAAAGAAATGGATTCAAATACAAACTTTGATATAGAGGATGTTAAAGACCAGTTTTCAATTGAAGTCATAATTTAGGACTAATGGGAGAATAGTTAGAAAAATGTCATGGGAGATTATTTCAATATATGATTAGTGTGATGAGATTAATATATGCACCAAAATGGAAAGATTCAACATTGTCCATAATGGAAGAATTATTGGCGAAGTTAACATATTTTGCTGAAATGGCTAAATTATTTTCTTTGATTAGAGAAAAGATATTATCTACAATTATTGGTGAGTAGAACTATCTTATGGATATTTTACAAGAAATTATAAAAATGAGCTTTTGAATTATGTCTTTGAGGATTCAAGAGGATAAATTATAGAAAGGAGGAATATGATTCTTTATATATATTTTCCTTCTTTCTATTTTTATTCAGTTTTTCTCTTTTCTTGAGCTTTTTGCTTTTTTTCTTCCTTATATTATATTACTTTGTATTCACTTTAAAAGTTTCAGTAAAAATCACATATTTATTTTAAAAGAAACCATATTTATAATAAATAGTAGAATTCTCCATGCCATGGCATACCAATGTATTCATCCTGATCCACAAAACCATCTTCATTTTTGTCTATGTCCTCCAGTGTTTCCTGTCACAATAAGAGGAAACAAGCTGTCAGTATAAAGATACCTAGTTTTTTCTGCAAACTACTTATAAATCTTTCATTTTCAGCTGTCCTTTTACATCAGCATCTCCCAATGTGAAGCCCTCCAGTGGTCTTGGACTTCCATAATCTTCAGCCAGCTTGGCCTATTGAGTGCTTGCTAGGAATTATGTGAGTTGACATCTAAAATATTTGGAAAGGTACAGTCTGGGAAATACTGTTTACACCAAGAGCAGTAGAGCCTTTTTTTAAAATCAAACATATAACAAATGTAATGTTATATTATCTAAATATTTTTCCTGAACATACATGCAAGGTATGTTTTACCTTAGAATCTTCTTTATACACAGGAATTGGCTACAGGAGCTTCTGTAATATTTCTCTGGAGATATCATATATATAAAAATACCTGAACTTTCAAAGATTGCTTAGTCAATTAAATATCAGGTCATTTAATAAATCAATATGACTAATAATATTGTAAGGTTCCAAGTTAGGAATAGCAAATACAGTTTCTAAGCCTCAGAAACAGCAGTAAGCCTGTGATTCAGTACATACTGTGGGAAGAGCTTAAGCCCAAATCTCAGTATCTCAACAACAACAAAAAAGAAAAGCCTGGAAACCAGGGAATTTTGGAAACTACAGTCAACAGTTGGACGACCGGAGAAAACTGGTCTTGACATCACTTAGTTGGGCCAATGGCTGACTATGCCTAGCTTGATATCACACACTGGAATATTTTTTATTTCAGAGGTTCTCAACCTGGGATCTGCAGACCCCAGGGGGCCATGATGTCATCATAGGGGTCCGTGAAGGCTTGAAGAAATGTTATTACGATTTAAATCTTGAGTTAAGTCTTGGTGGTCTGGGGCCATGGTTCATTGCCACAAAAGGTATTTAAAGGGAATCTGTGATAAAGAAATAGTTGAGAACCACTAGTTTATTTGATTTTGTTAAATATAATAGTGTGAAACTAGCCAACGATTTAATCGTGGTTAATTGAGTACGCGATAAATGATGCTTAACGTATGTGAATTATACCATAATAAGGCACTGCCTATGTTTCTGATAAAGTAAAATTATGCCATAGTAAACAGCCACACCCTGATTTCTACAGCTAATTTGAAGGATTGTGAGAACAGCCCGGCTTTGTAGCACTGAAGCATCAATGGGCCTGTAATGTATCAAAAATAGGAGGCAAAGGGTTGGCCGTTGTAGGCAAAATGTAGGCAAAACACAAAGTTTGCATTTTTATGATTTTCAATGGATGCCACTTTAAAACGTTTAACACAAGCATTTTTTCTCAGTATTGTTGCTTTAGTATGTGATAAAATCAAGGATTTGTTGAATACTTCAATAAAGCAATATTCATGGCAAAATGGGTCCATGTCTATGACTCTATTTGCCACCTTACTACTAAACAATCTTCAGATAGAATTGATCAACATATAAAAGAGATCACCAAAATTTGGGAGAGAAGCAGGGGTGAAATGCTACCGGTTTGCTCCAGTTCAGGTGAACCGGTAGTGATAAAAACTACCAGTTCGAGCGAACTGGTAATTAGCTACTGGTTTGGTTGAACCAGCAGTTTAAAAAGCTACTGATCCCTCTAAACCAGTATTTCCGATGATCAGCTGTGCCGTGGGGTTTATCTTTGCTAGAAAGCAGGATTTCCTGCTTTCTAGCAAAGCTAAATCGTGTGGCACAGCTGATTCCCCCTCCTGCTGTTCTACTTACCTTCCCAAGCCTCCTTTTGGTGCGTGCTGCGCATGCACAGTACGCACCAAAAGGAGGCTTGGGAAGGTAAGTAGAAGAAGGAGGGGGAAATCAGCTTTGCTGCGAGGTTTATCTTTGCTAGAAAGCAGAAAATCCTGTTTTCTTGTGAAGCTAAATTGCGCGGCACAGCTGATCTCCCCCTTTCGTTTCTACTTACCTTCCCAAGCCTCATTTTGGCGCGCGGCACGCATGCGCGACCAGCAAACCGGTAGCAAACTGGTTCTGATTTCACCACTGGAGAGAGGCTACTTTTTAGCAGCCTAATTCCTAAAAGCAGCTTTCCTTCTGGATGAAAAGAACAGTAATTACTGTCTAGGAAACCTTGCCTTGAAAAATGAGAAAGTCATTTTCAAACTGATGTAATAAAAGGGAAGCCCAAAGGAATAAAGGTAGCTTTGCCATAGCTTACTAGAACAACAATGTCTTTCATATGTTCAAACTCCTCCGGGTGAAGGAAAGCAGTGAATTCCTCACGAGTTGCTTCTGAATCACCATCCAGATCAGCTTGTTTGAATCTTCTTTCATCTCTGGGCAGCATTTTCTTAAAATTGTGTTGCTCTGTGACATCTTGGAACTCTTTGGAATGCTCTATAGAAAAAAGAAATTATTAAAATAAGATGAACCAAACTAAAATTGCAGGAATAATTAACACCAGAGTGTTTTATCCAGGAATGCTATGCTAGAATCTAAATCTCTAAATCTCTCCTACATAAGACATACATCCAGTACAGTATTCTGTTTATGGGAATTCCTCCACTAGATTTTTGAACCTACTGTTGTATATACATACAGTTATAGCTCCATATTCTTCAAATAAAAAAATTAATTCTTTTCTTAACCCACAATAAAAACCCATAGCATTTTGTATTTACTAGAGAGATTCTTTGACAAAGCTACGTATCTGCGTCCCTTTCCCATCCTTATATATACTATCAGTGTTGCAGCAGCTGCTGCTTCCATGTGCTTTAAACAGAAGGAAGGTATTTTAAGAGGATTTAATTAAAATTTTAGTCCTCAAAACAATGGTATTATGAAAATAGCCCAAGCAGTCCCTTTTTCTTTACACCCAAAAGCATTTGTGTTTTGACATATACACTTTATACATAGGAATCTTACTTGTTTTTAACAATGTGCACAGAGCCACCAAGTTGGCCAGAAAACTGATATGCTTGAATAAGCACATGTAGTCAGAAACAAAGGATATAGGAACGCTATACCCACCCTCTTTAATGGTACCCATGTCCTCTGGAACTCAAAACTGAATTCAAAGTCCCATTTAGTGATTCATTTACATTTAGATTAAATTGACAAATGCATTTCTTCTTTTCTGTATTCATTTCTTACCTGTGCATCTTGTCTGCCTATATTTACAAAACAAGTGAGTTTCTGCTTTCTTGCAATTTAATCTTGAATACATCAAAGACAAATATGAATAACCTGCAGCCTGGCTGTAGCCCTTGGCTTATTTAATATACACAAGGCTCGCTTTTCATACGGAGAAAGTGAAGCAGGGTACTTCAGGGAGATTTGGAATTTTTCTGCTCCAAAATTTCAGATATTCTTTAGCATTCAAGTACTCTCAGATACATTTTATATCAAATTTATCATACATGTAAAATGCCAAAATGGGATTGATAGGATCTAGGTTTGAACTAAGCTGTTGTTTCCTATCAGAGAATACTTTACTAAATACTTTACTTCCAGTCATACTACTCTGGAAAAGAACCAAAAAGGAATATACTCAAAATTGTTCCATAAGCTTTTTTAGAAACAATGCTAGAATTCAGAACTGTTGATGATTGTGCTCTGTGTGTGTGAGTATTTTTATTCCAATATTTTCCAAAAGTCCAAGAACTTAATTCACTATGGGAATTATATTAGTCTTAGGTATTTTTTTAGCACTACCTAGTTATTAGGCTAATTTTTCATCCATCCACCATTCATTCCAGTTCTGTTGCATATAAATCAGGTTCAGTTATATAACTGATAAATGTAAACAAATACAGCTGAATGTCTAGAATTTTCTTACCTAAGTAGTAGCCATATGATGCTTGTTTATATTCTTCCCATGAAATTTTATTGTCTTTATTGAGATCATAATCCTTCCAGACTTTAGCCACATTTTCAAAGATGTAACGTTTCTGTACTCTTTTAATCCAATTTTTCAGTTCTTCTGTTGTGATAAAACCATCTTTATCATCATCGATCCGATCAACAATTTTGCTGAGATAAAAGGAAAAGTAATCAGATAATTAGAATTTTGGTAAATATTCTTCAGAATTTGCATTACTATCCATATTATCCTAGGTAACTGTTCTACAAATTGCCATACCTTGTACAAATACATTTGCTTAAAATGAATCTTCTGAATGGGAACCAGCATGATACCTATCTAAGGATCACATGATGCATTTTATCTCTGCTGTTTAGCACTGCTGTTTGAACCAACATATTCTTCATGCATATCTGTCCTCCAGATCATATACAAATATCCAAATCAGTATCTGAATTATAGCAAAATATACTTGAGCAATCCATCCAATCCTTTACCACAGCCTTTCCAATATGGTTATTTTCAAGTCTGTTAGAACACAATTCCCTCATCTACTGCCATCAAGGAAGGATTCTGTAACCACTGATACCACAATTATGAATATATGTTATATGGAGCAGAATTTCCACTCTTGCAGAAAAATATACTATGTGTTCATATCAGAGCACAAAGAAAGACACCTAAAAAGTATAATTTATTCTGCATAAAAGTATAGTGATCATACCACCATAAACAGCAGCTTAAATCCACATTTACACAGAATCTTATTTGGGGAGATAAAAGTCAAAAGCATTACAACACTTAAGAGACACAGGCATCCATGGAAAGCCATGTTGATGTCAAAATGACTATTCATGCATTTTGTCATCACACAAACGATGCAAAAATATATGGGCATCCCAAAGTCTGACACAATTATGCAAGTCACAGCATTTACATGATGTTTCTCATATCATCATGTGTTTCCCTTTTGTGCTCCCTAAGTCTGGAGAAAAAAAACATAAAACTCAAAAACAAAAAGAAAAAAGGAGAAAACAGGAAATAAGAAGAAACAGTGCAGTAAGTCGGCTCAGAAAGCTCTTCCATTCTTCTGGCGTGGTAGCCAAAGAGCAACTGAAGTTGAAGGAAATGAATAAGTTGTTCTTTTATAAAAGTGAATAAAAAAGGAACATCCACCCAGGGTGAAGTTAAAAGTAAACATGATAAGATGGTCGTTGTTAGACAAGAATTGCCAAGATGACCCTTTTAAAGTATAAAATAACTTTTTTTTTTTTAATTTGATTTATATGCCGCCCTTCTCCGGAGACTCAGGGAGGCTTACAGTGCGTTAAGCAATAGCCTTCATACTTTTGTATATTTTATACAAACTCAGTTTATTGCCCCCACAAACTGGGTCCAACTTGGAGAATGACTTAGGAGAATAAAGGGGAGTTGGGAGGGCTTCTTTGGTGTGCATTGTGTGCATTGTGTAGGAGTATAAAATGTGTAGCTTGAAAACCGCTTCTTGCGCTCTTTGAACTCAATCCCTTTGGGAAGGGTCTAAGAGGCCGTGCTTGCAACCGCTTTTTATTTTTCTTCATTTTATCTCCAATAAACCTTTGATTTTGTGAATCAGACTTGTTTATGAATTGTGAGGATTAAAATATTTGGGTCTTATATCTTACAAAGTGATTAAATAGGACCTTGATCTTTGAGCATATGAAAACTGATTTTCACCAAAAATGTGGCTCTAGACCAAACTCGATTTCATTGAAGGCCGCATCAGGGTTGTGTTTTACCTCAGGGGGCCAGGGTGGGCAGGCCAGCATGACATCATTTGTGTTGGGGGCACCTGTGGTGGCCTGAGAGCTCTGCCATGAAAACGGGCTCCTGGACCCTATTTTCAGCTGTGACTGCCTCCTGCAGTCCTCTGCCAGTAAAAACAGAGCTCAGGGAAACCGTGCACAGCCCTCCCGAGCTCCGTTTTCACTGGCAGAGGCACCGTGTGCCGGTCCTTCGTTGTTTCTGGCCCCTGTGGGCCAGATCGAAGCACCCTGTGAGCCAGATCTGGCCTGCAGGCCTTAAGTTTCACACCCCTGCTCTATACAGTTTCTAAGAGACCACTGAACAAACACAGAACCCATAGATAACCATACGGTTAGAGGTAAACAATCTGCTACCTCTGCTTATGTAACAAATGATACCACTCACAATTTGTAGTCGGCCCCAAGATGTGTAAACCTTCTGCAGCTTATCCTCAGTTTTCCTGATTGCTGCCACCGGAGTCTCTTTTATCTCCACTAAGATGTAAAATAGCCCTCTTACAAGTTTGTTAGCTAATTTGTTTGCTAACAGGTTGTTTTGCACTACAGTTGTAGCAGATCAAGTGACTAGGAAACTACAGGTAGTCCTGGACTTACAACCGATTGTTTAGCAACCATTCGAAATTACCACAGCACTTTAAAAAGTGACTTACAATCAATCTTCTCACTTACAACCATTACAACATCTCCACATCTCCACATGATGTGTAGATGATTCTCTTAACTGCAATAATTCACTTAACAACCATGTCAAAAAGGGCCATAAAATCAGGTGTGAGTCACTTAATAAGTGCTTTGCTTAGTAACAGAAATTCTGGTCCCAATTATGGTCGTAAGTCAAGGACCTCCAGCTATGGTCATGGGAGTAAGGGTTTTTGGAAAACCCCAATGTATCCCCAATGCAGATGTAATCTGCATGACAGCAGATGATACACTTCAGTATCTACTATAACTGTGATGGCGAACCTATGGCACGCGTGCCACAGGTGGCATGCATAACCATATCAGTGGGCACCCCAGCTCAGTCCGACACGCATGCCAGCTGATTTTTGGGCCTTCTGGGCCCACCAGAAGTAGGGAAACAGGCTGTTTCCTGCCTCCAGAGGGCCTGGGATGGGTAGGGAAGGCCCGTTTTTCTTTCTCACCTGGATCCAGATCCTCTCTATGCATCTGGGGAGGGTGAAAATAGCCCACATAGAATTATGGGTGTGGGTACACACGCGCGCGAACCTCCCCCGCCCCCCTTCCTGGCACGCGATGGCAAAAAGGTTAGCCATCACTGTACTATAATGTCCTCCTTCAAATATATAAACTAGATTTTTATTTTTAAACTGTGTATCTCTTTGGTAATTTTTTAATTATCTGATACACCAATATCCCTCCATTCCACCAGGGACACAAAGAGAATATACACAGCCCTCTCTCCTACAATTGTTCCCAACCGCAACAAACCTGTGAGGCACAATGGCTGGAAAAAAACCTGGCCCAAAATCATTGAGCACACTTCCAGTATGAATCCCAAACTTTAACTACTCTACCACACTGCCTTATCCATCTAAGATAACATTATTGTTTGAAGAAATATTTTCTCTGATATTTTTACCTCCATAAACTATGATTACATTTAAAAAAAAATATTGCATTATTGTGACTGACCTGCAATCTATTTTTTGAGGAAGGGTTGCATTATAAACAAATGACATTTCACAGTCTCTGTCTTTACCCGTGTCCTTTCTTAGTCTTTCTCCCCATTTCACTCTGCCTTTGCTTTCAACTAGTTGTCTGATCAGGCAGGAGGAGAAGAAGAAGAATTGGAAATGTATGCAAGAGATTCTCATTCTCTGGAAATAATCCCTCGTGCCTTCTCCAAGAAAACCTACGTGGCATTTTAAGCCACTCCTCAGACAGTGATTTGGGGGGGGGGGAGAGAAAGGAAATAAGAGAAATGGAGTGACAGCAAAGTAAACATACATTAACCCAACAGGAGTCAAATTTGAACACCAACTGATGATATCTGACTACTGAATTTGTAGGGATTTGATAATTTAGCATGTTTTAAAAGTACCGATCACATTTTTTTCCCCACATAAACATACATAAAGGTACTTAAGTCAAGTTTTGTGGAGTGTTGCCTAAGCCAAATTAACATGCCAAAATACAAATTCCAACTTCCTTCCCCATAGAGAGGGATATACATCAGAAAAGAGATCTGTATCTGGATTACAGATTGCATCTGGAGGTTCCCATGACCCAAAGTATAGTTATACACAAATGAAATCCTAATTTAACAGACCACTTGGTGGGAGAGATTGACTATTGTTCTTCTTTGTCAGTGAAGTAAGACATTTGTTCTGCACCAAAAAAGGCATACAGAATTTAGAATGCCCCTCAGATACCTAACAAAAGACCAAGTCTTCTACACCTGCCTCCAGGTTCAAGCAAGCAGGGATGCGAGTCATATCAGCTTTCTCTGTACCGTATGGATGCTTTGAACACACAGCACTCACCAAGCATAGAAGGAATGTCAGACTGAAGAGGACAGAAATCAGCTGATTCACCTTTACCTGTGACCCATCTCGATAACCAGATGACAAAAAAATCCAATGACATTATCAAACTCTGGGCCCAGTTACTGGAGACACTATTTGGGTTGAAGTCTAAAGTTGCTCCATCAAACATGGAAGCCCTACCAACTGTGTCCTGGACCACATCCTAGGTAGGCATCACCAAAACACAGTGTTGACACAACTGCCAGGCCCACCCACACCTTTATTCTATTCATTTATGCACACTTGCTTCTCCTCTCCTCCATCTTAGAAATTAGACTTTAAAGGGGGCTCTACTAACATCAATAAGAGCTATTTTGAATAAAAGTTGACAATTCTTCAAGAGAGGGTTACAATCTTAGGAATGAAAGGCCTTCTCTCCCCTCACTAACACCACATCTTGAAAAACCCACCCACAAATCAAAGTTTTCGTTTACTTCAACTGCTGACTTCAACTTCCTCAGCCAACAGCAAAAATCCCCAAATGACACCATGAAATAATGTTCTTCATACAAATGCCATAAAAATATATTCACACCAGGACACCAGCTACAGCATTTGCATGACATTATGCATGTTTTAACATTTGTTGCTCCCTCCAATGGCCATATACAGTAGTGGTCAAAATTGTGGAAACCTTTTAAAAGAAACATTGATTTGATTTGGGTCTTTGAAGTACAGAAAATACATGAAATACTGATTGTTTTAAAATGATAAATGAATACTATAAAGTGCTGTTTGGATTTGAAGTTTAAGGGTTAGGGTGACTACATAATAAAATCTTAAATATTAGAATAAGATGTTAGATTGGATGACAAAAATTGGGTTTAGATTTAGGATGTTAATCGATGAAATTGGGAATTTATACCTATGTTATACCAGGCCAAACTCTTGCTCCAAAAATATGTTGTTTTATGTTTTAAAAATAAATTTAAAAAAAATTCAAAAAAAAAATTGTGGAAAGCTTTTGGGAAAAGTGTATTTTTGAGGTTTGATGGCTAATAACACCACTTTTTTTTTGAGTTTTAAGATAATCATATTCTACTGCTGGAATGGCCTAGGAATAGCCCAGACCTTAACCCAATTGAAAATCTATGGAGCCGACTAAAGAAACTTGTTAGTCAGAAGCAACCCAGCAATAAAATCCAGTTAATAGAGGCAATCATTCAATCTTGGTTTCACATTATAACAACTGCAGAACTAAAAGACTTGGTTCACTCCATGGGAAGATGTTGTAAAACCGTAATTAATGCTAAAGATTACCCAACTAAGTATTAACTGACATGGTGATAATTTTTGTATATCTCATTTTTTTCTACCTGTTTCACTGTTCTTCTTTATACTGTAACTGCTATTCTAATAGCAAATCCTTCATAAAAGTTATTGCATTACATTCTTGATTAAATTATCTTTCCATTGATATATAATTTTATGGTACTACTCCAAAAAAAAGTGGTGTTATTAGCTAGTTTTAGAAAATACACTTTTCCCAAAAGGTTTCCACAATTTTGGCCACTACTATAATAGTAATAATACTGTAATACTTTCCCATCCCAGGTCTGGGGATGTTAAATGGGATAAAAAACTGAGGAAGAAAAATTAGGTTATATGGGAAGCCATTGCAGACTGTATTTTGCCTAGAGAAAAGCAATTCTCTCTGCCCGCCTCAGACAGAAAAGTCAAGTTTATTACAAAGTTAGGCCAGACAAGAGAGATATTCCATTTATAGAAGAGTATAAATTTGGAGAATATTCTCGTTCACAGGGTAATCTCAAATTTATCTCTCTGGTTTCTCTAATCAGCAGATTTGTCACGAAGATCAAATGGGAAGATTAAACTTGAGTATCTTGGAGAAGAGAGTAATATATGGGATCCATGTGACTGTAGGTTTGACTTCCTCCTATCTGTGACACCCTTTGGTGAGCAAACTGTTCACATGCTCTGTTATGGTGTTACTATTTCACTTTTGATCTTTCAACTTGTTTTTTAAAATCCAACACCATTGAAATGCTTTCCACCAATTCTTATTAGTTGCTAGGTTTCTTTTCTTAAGAGTCAGACTTGTCTATTCATATCCTGCCTGCCGCAACATGAATTGGAAGTGGACACCTAATCAGATTTTATTTTCGCAATCTTTTCAGCCAACTCTAATGTTTTTTAAAAAAATTGTTGTTGTTGTTGCAAAACAATAGGTTTTGCACTACAGGTAGTCCTTGACTTACTATCACAATTGAGCCCAGAATTTATGTTGCTAAGTGAGAAATTTGTTGAGTTTTGTCCCATTTTACGACTTTTCTTGCCATGTTTGTTAGGAGAATCACTGCAGTTGCTAAATTAGTAACACGGTTGTTAAGTGAATCTGGCTTCCCCATTGATTTTGCTTGACAAAAGGTTGCAAAAGGGGATCGGGTCACCCTAGGACTCGGCAACTGTCATAAATATGAACCAGTTGTCAAGCATCCAAATGTAAATCACGTGACCATGGGGATGCTGCAATGGTCATCTGTGTGAAAAATGGTCATAAGTCACGTTTTTCAGTGCCGTTGTAACTTCGAATAGTCACGTGATTTACATTTGGATGCTTAACAACTGGAACTGTTGTAAGTCGAGGACTATGTGTATAATGTCGAGTCCCACTCTGTAAACCTAACCCCTTCATCCCACAATTATGCATCCGCCAACACAAGATACATAATTGTCATGCACTGGGTAGATCTCTCACCCACGAAAGACTCTTGTTTGTGCTGCAACAAATTAAGGAAGTCACCCTCCAAAAGTTTAAAAAAGAGAAAGAAAACCTCTCCTACAACAAGACTTTTCATTTCAATGAGCTGATCCTCGACTTCAATCTCCCATATAAAACTAGAATTCTGTATACTGTATGATCTAGGAATGAAACTGATTTTCCATTCAAGGCGTTGATGGGAACTTTCCCTCCCGCCACGTTACCAAGGCATCATAGTAAGAAATTTCTTCGCCTCTTGCAGAGTTGATTTTCGCTGCCGAAAATCGTTTATCAGGAAAGAGAAAAGACTATTAAACTTTGACAGCACAGTGGTTAAACTCCGTCGGCGTGCAAAATACTATTATTTCACTCTGTACCTACTTGGAGAAAATCTCCAAATCCCCCTTCCCATGAACGTCCTCTTGCCTCGAGGAACGAGGGACCTTTTATGCCTTCCAGTATTGGTAAAATATAAGGACCGTCTTACCCCAACCGTTCCTGGCTTTCCTGCGGGGTGAGTTGATCGAAAGTTTTGGCATCATCTTTGCCCAGAAAGGCTTCGTGATCATACTGGAAGCTCTGGTTATCTTCGTGTTGCCGGTTGCCGAGTTCGGGATCGGGGCGAACGACTCTCTCCTTTCTGAAAGTGGGGACGCCCAAGGACCTGTTGATGCACAATACTAGCATCAGCCCCACCGTGAGAGAGCTGGAAGTTGTTCCCAGGCTCATGGCTCCTTCCGGCCCGACGGCGGTTTGTCTCCGATGAAACTTTCGCGTCTCCGATACACGTCGAGAGGGGAACCTCCTTCACTTTGCAGAGCCTAACACGTGTCTTCTGCTTGGGCTGCCTCCCAGTCCAGCGGATCTCGCCCCTCTCGCGCCACGCGCTCATAAAGGCTCAACGCGGGGTCGACCCGTTTTTCCTGCCCCCCATTGTACAAATCCTGGTCCAGCTGCAAAAGCCTGGCTTTTAAAAGACGCCTATGAATGGCCTAATTTGGACTGGTCATTGGATTTCCCCCCCCCCCCCCACCACCACTCCCAGCCAGTCAGCAACGCGGTTGCAAACGGGTGAAGCTCCGCGCCGTTGCGTGCTACGCCTCGCGCGATTGGATAAGAGGAGATGCCTAAGCTGAAAGGTGGAGCCGCCCGACCGCCACGTTTGCAAGGCGGCTCCAGTTTCTTCTGAGGACCAATTGCGAAACTGGCGGGAGGAGGCGGGCTGAAGAAAGAAAAGATTCCAGCGGGAAAGATTCCCAACGCCAACGTGTTATTACTCTTATTTCTTTCCCCGGAAGAAGTGCTGTATAGTTATTCAGCCTGATCAGCTAGTCATGTTCATCTGGGAAGGATATTCCTCGGTCGCTTCTGACTGTTTGTGCCTTGATGGATATCGTATCATGGAGACTGCCTTGAGTTCATGTAAATTCGTGCTTATGTCGTCAGACATAATATCTAACCACCTTGCCAATAAAGGAGAATATTGGCAGCTCAGGGTTAAATGAGGGCTCCTTAGTGCTCTCTGAGCTTGGTCGTTTTTTCTTGCAGACGTTTTGTTACCCAAACTAGGCAACGTCATCAGTGCTAGGATAAGCTAGGTCTAGCACTGATGATGTTACCTAGTTTGGTAATGAATAAGGTGACCAGATTTTAACATTGGTAAAGAGGGACACCGTTGTGGGCGTGGCTTATTTTGTGGGTGTGGCTTGGAGGTCATGTGACTGGTGGGCGTGGCTAGCTGGTCATGTGACTGGGCGGCCATGGTTATGTGTATAGGGACTACTCAGAGGGCTGAAAAAAGTCATTTCTGACAGGTCCTGGCACTTTTGACTGGTCCTCACACTTATGACCATCCTCACATTTATGCCCGTGCAGCTTTCTTAACAACCATGTCACTCATTTCACAACTGCTTCTCTTCACCATGGTGATAAGATAGGGCAAAAAACGTAAAATGTGAGGACAGTCGTAAGTTTGAGGACTGGTCAAAAGTGCGAGGACCAGTCAAAAATAACTTTTTCAGCCCTCTGAGTAGTCCATATGCATTAAAGGATACAGCAATAGAGAGGGATGAAGGAAGGGAAATTAGAGTAGGAGTGAGGGTAAGAGAGGGAGGAAGAGAGGAGGAGAAGGAGAAAGGAAGAGGAAGTAGGGAGGAGAAAAAGAGGGTGGGGGGAAGAAAAAGTAAGAAGGAAAAAAAAGAGAGAGGTGGTAGGTTTGAGGAGAAAGATTGCTGTACAATAAAAAAGATGAAAGGGAAGAAAGCCAACCCCAAGCAAATATAAAGATATTAAGATAAAAGAATGAATTGTTAAACTTTAAAGAATAAAAGAGAACAAATATAAATAAATAGCAATAATTAGAAACACACATACAAACATACAATGTATTTTCTTTGAACAGAATATTTGGCCGGTTCACAAATTTAAACAGTGTTTAGTCATTTCAATTAAATTTACAATTTCTATATTTCCTTTTTGCCATATTTATTCCTCATCTATTTTTTTAAAAAACCAATATTACCCTTCATCCTCATCTCTAATCTTAATCAAATTCATTTTTTCCCTTCTATTCTATATTATACCCCTTCCCATTGTCATCTATTTTTATATCCATCCTCACATTGGTTAATTATGTAATTATGTAATACAGTTGTTTAATACAAATTCAACATTTTAATATAAATCAATTAGTTATATAACTATCTTTTTTGAATATTAATCAATATGAACATGAATATTCCAATTATTTCCATGCAATCCAATTTCTTACAAATCAATTAATTATATTTACCAATAATAATAAACCAAATAATTTCCCCCATATATTCCTCCAACCAGAACTTAACCATTTCTGCTTTCAACACAATATACAATTATTAATAGTATCTCAATTATTAAAATTCCCTAGTTAAATAGAGCTTTTTTTCTTTTGTGTTTTAAAATCTTGAACTCTCCTCTTTTGCCCTAAATTTCCCATTGTTTGCAGTTTTGCACCTACCTTTTTTGGTGAGGAAAAAGAAAAAGTAAAAGAAATCTCTCTCTGCCTCATTTTGTCACGTTGCAGCTTTACTTTCGCTTTCGCTTTTTCAGCATAGCTAGGGGGAAAAAAATCTGCTCCAGGAACTCTCTGCAGCCAATTAACCTATGCGGAAGCTGTAAGGGGCTGTTTTTTCTATTTTTGCAGGCATGGGTCTACTCATTTGTTTTCTTTTAAGACTGATCACCTGTAGGGCGGCCCTTTGAAGCCCCGCGGCAAGAGTTTAAACAGTTTTTTTTCCTCTAGCCATCAGCTGGGACTCAGGAGGCAGAATGAAAAATCGGGACTTTTTAAAAACGACGCGGAAAAATCGGGACTTTTTAAAAACGGACAAATTGCTAAAAATCGGGACTGTCCCGCCAAAAGCGGGACGTCTGGTCACCTTAGTAATGAAACATCTGCAAGAAAACTCAGAGAGCACCAAGGAACTCTTGTAACCATCTTGTTTTTGCTGAACTTTTTCAACTACTTTGAGTATTCCAAGCATTAGCACTGTGCATTCTCTAATGACTCCTGAATTAAATTGAACTAGTATTCAGTCCAACCTAAGCGTAGTACATAAAATTATCTGCTACAATGTTCTACCTGTCAATTAATACTTCAGCTTCAACCACAACAATACGCGAGCACATAATAGATACAAACTTATGGTAAACCACTCCAAATTTGATTGCAGAAAATACGACTTCAGTAACAGAGTGGTCAATGCCTGGAATGGACTACCTAACTCTGTTTCTTCCCCAAACCCCCAAACCTTTATCCTTAGATTGTCTACTGTCAACCTCACCACATTCCTAAGAGGTCTTTAAGGGGCGTGCATAAGCACACCAGCATGCCTACCATCCCTGTCCTAATGTTCCCTTTTATTCGTATCCATTTTATGTATTCATAATTATGTTTATATTTATATTTGTTATCTAATACATGCTTGACGAAAATAAATAATGTATTGACTGATTTCCTCTGGTGGGCAAAGAGTTCATTGGAGTTGGGCTAATAATGAATTCAAATAAATATTCTCAACCATTTTATTCAATGCCTCAATGCAAAGACATCAATTTTTCTTCATTGTGTCTTTGATAGCCATGTTACAAATGGAAAAAAAAATGCATGGCTCCAACAGTACTTGTGATCATGGTTAGTGTCACAAGTTTAATGTTTTCTCTAGATCTGTTAGTCTTTCAAGTAACCAGTGTCTGTTTCATGACACTTGAGCTTATGAAGATAACATCTGTCAATACTTCAATTTCTGTGCTGACACACATTGGGCTGGCATTGACTTAATCTCTCTCTGTGTGTGTGTGGGAGGATTTTTAACACAGCAGCAAACAAGTTTTTGCAGTCTTTAATCTCACCTTCAACAAGAGATTCTTTACGGTTCTCACGTCTAGCTATCAAAATGAAAACTTCAGTATATCAGAGGTAATTGGTGTTTCTTTCAGCAATTTTAATTCCAAGTTTTGTTTCCTGTAGTCCAGCATTTCTTTTGATATTCTATGTGTAAATTGAATAAATAAGGAGACACTATGCAACCTTAGTGCATTCCTTTCCTTTCCATTGTGCCATGTCAGTTCTTTTCTAAAGTAATTTTTTTAAAAAATCAAGAAACTCTTTATATTATTATTTTTGTAATTGTTTGAATTCCTCTGCTACTACACTTTTCAAAACCAGCATCCATGTGCCTACACTGTATCCATTTACAGTTTAAATCTAGAAGTATGATAAATATACAAGAAAAGTACTTCAACGATACAATTTAATGCCATAATCATAACTAAATATCCCCAGTTCATAATAGAGAAAGCTTTACTTTCCAGTTTAGACAATATAATAAGTCACCAGGTACCAAAGCAGAAAATGGTTAAGAGGTTTGTAATGGACTAGCTGGATTACTGCAACAGGTCAGCAAATTTCTGAAGATTAATTCATTTGATATAAACTGTCAAGTGTTTGCAATAAAGGCGTATTCTATTTTCTGATGGAAAAGAACACTCTCTTATTAGATCACATAAGGAGCTGGCTTGGCACCAAGATGGAGGTTTGATTGTGGAGACATATCCTTAAAAAATGGAAATGGAAAAGAATTGTGAATGAACCTTATGTCAAGCTATCACAAGCATAACTATAATTCAATTTCCCCATTCTATGCTTTAGAATTGGCTGTACTTGGCTCATCCAGAGAGCAAAGCAGCTGCATTTCTACACTTTGTGCTTCTTCAAAGCTTCCCTAACAGTTTCTTCTGGGACTTGACCTAAGGATAAGTAGTGAGTCGGCCAATCTTATGAGTAATGGTAAACTAGGGCAATGAAAACCAAAAGTGACTGAAAAGATCTGTAAAAGGATCTGTTCTAACTTGATGAATAGTCAACCAAATGGCCAATACAATTAAATTTAAATAAATAAAATATGCAACACCCCTCCCCCAACTTCATATATTTGCTTGTATAGTCTGAGCATCCTGTCCCAAACCAGAAAAAGGATTGTTGCAATTATGTGGCATCATAGTAGAGAGCTTAATGAAGGCATCAACTCAGTGACTGTGAAAAACTCAAATGCCATGTTGGGTATCTTTAGAAAAAGGACTGAAAATAAAATGCCAAGATACAAATCTTGATGTGTCTGTACCACTGTGTACAATACTGATTGAAAAAGGGTATAACAGCTGAAAAAAATGTGAGAGAAGATGTCTAAAATGAATAGGGGACTCAAACAAAAACCCAGAAAAGATGAGAATGTTTGACTCTTAGCTTGAATAAAGGCAACTGGGTGATGGTTGAGAAGTATAAACTCCTGCATGGAATGGAGAAAATAGGCATAGGGTTTTCTCCCTCTCAAAACTATAGGCCATGGTTTTGGAAGGAGACTAGAAGGAGATTTAGAATCGGCAAAAGAAGCAAAGAAACAGCACAGCAAATAATTTGTGGAATTTATGATCTTTAATATGAATGGCTGTAA